TGCTAGTGAAAAATGTTCAAAATATGAAGAATTTTCTTTTAATTTAGGGTAAAATAGGTTTCCCACTATGCTTCTGTTAGGCGCATTTTTGTCCCCGGCCACATTTCGGCACGCTCACGTTCTAAGTTTGTTGATTTTTCCTAAAATTATATTGGGCTTTGGCGGGCCGCGCAAAAAGTTGCAAAGGGCCGCAGGTTGCCGACCCCTGGTATAGGCAATCCATTTGGTGTAGGAAATCCAGCGGCCCTGCATTCGAACCCGGGACCTTTACCTTACAGTGATGAGCGCCGTTGCGGCCACCGAAGACCCTAGAAAACGTTATTCTTCTAACTATAATGATCTTAGCTTTAGCATTCCATTGATTAAATGATGATAAATAAAATAAGTCATAAAATTGGTGTTTATTTCCAGGATTAAATAGTAACAATAGTTGTTCCTCAGGTTGCAAAACGTAGTAAATTTAGTGTCATATTTTTATCTCAAAAATGTATATATTCAGGGTAAATCGGTTGAATGTTTATTACCTCGATCACGTAGGGGCTGTCCGGGAACTTCTAACAACTTATTTCACTCCGTGGTTGTCCAATAATTTTTCCATTTAGCTTGAGTTTAAAACTTGCTCTATCATAAATATTTTAAAGATCTATCTTTTATTTGTTATACTTTGAACCGACCAATCGTTTTTCTTCTTCAAAGTATCGATAAAATATGACACGAAAGTTGAATATTGAATATAGGAATGAATTTTACAAGAAATTATTTATCAACAATGAAAGTATGTATTGTAAAAAAAAAAAAAAAACAATATAAAGTTTGTACTGATTGAGTACTTCATTAAAACCCATTAACATTTCCTGCAAAATAGAAAGACTTAATTTATGTAATTATAAAACAAAATCATTATGCTAATTTAGTCTAAAAATGTGAATTAATTCTGATTGGTGCTTGTTTTTTTTTACTTATTATTCATTCTAATGACAATCCTTTTATGTGGATAAATGGATTATTTAAATAATTAATACTAATCCTTATTTACAGCAATAATAATGGAATAAATTGTTGACACACACATAGAATCTACTGTACATAAAAGATTTTGATGTTTATAAAGCGGGTGATTAGCGGAAAATCATTCTATTTTAACAAAGCCAGTTATATTAATTGTCTGCGTGAATGTGATGAGTGTATTTTTTATTTATGTTTATAAATTTTTATCGTTATGATTAAAATGTGTTTCAAAGCAGTGATAATTCATATGGCTTTCCTCTTCGTGAAATATTTTATGGGTTGTAAAATGAAGACCTTGGGAACATCAAAACTTCGCCGTGTAGACTCAACGGCATGTCAATTTTTTTAAAATAGAAAAGTCTCAAAACGCTGAATTTTTGTGACTATTGCTTGTACTGTCTTATGTAAGAAAATATTTCGAGGGAAATTGCAATGCCCTTGTTTAATTATTTATTTACGAAGATTTCATAATTTTTTATCAACTATATTTTGAGTTTTTATACTCCTATCAATTCCATTATTGAGTATATTTTAGTAATGTTATCGTTGTGTGATTTGGCAAAATAAAAATAAAAATTGGTAATTAAATTTTTACATTTATTATTTATTGTATATAAATCTAATACAGTATAGTAGAAAATCGATGTTATATGATAAAACTTTAATTTCTACATTAGAATTGAATCTATTCTATTTAGACTTCTTATTGTCGGACGGTTAGGCGCGCTCATTGAGCCGAACGACGTAATCCGTCACTACAGATTGGAAAACCGTTCTCTTCATCTTAATCTGAACTTCCAATCTTAATTTACGCCGTTGTTGCTGTCATCCCCTCAAAGCAGTATTGCCCTGGAGTCTTGGTTGAAAGATTGCTCATGTTTTTCGTAGGGTTTGTCATCAAACAACATATAGACACTTTTATGGTTCCATAATTTCTAATTTAACTTTAGACTCAACCAGGCCGTTAACCAGCATGCAGTTCGATATTCCAAACTATTACGGCACATTGGATAGCACTTGACGTATTCTAACCCTTTGTTTTATTTTAGAATCTATTAAAACTAAAAACATCACTTTAGCCTTTGCATAATTTCATACGAACATTTAATCAGATATTGTACAACACTGCATAATATTCACAAATATACCCTATTCTGCAAGGGTAGGAATGGGTACGGTTCGCCAGCAACAGATACATAATGGCGCCGATGAACACCATTGTTGACAGAAGGTAGGAAATAAGAAAAGAAAGGAGTTGAGTGTTTCGGCACCAACGGAAATATAAATTTCCGATTGAATAAAGGATAAATGAAAGTAAAACAGGTTTAATCAGATAGAGGATAGAGTTGAAACTAACTGCGTAATAAGTTCGCCAAGTCGTGCGTGGCGTGATGTTCTTGATCGAAGATCTGGAGACAATATGATGCGTTGTTCGGCGATGATTCAGAATGAACTCCAGTAGAGGCGATGAAGGTGGATGAAGAAATCCAAATGGCGATAGCAGTGATATGATGAAAGGAATTTTTCGGGGATGATGATGGATGATACTTTGTGTACGGAATGATGAGGAACGAGCGGTGAATGGTGATGAGGTAAAGGTTGAAATATCGGAAGAGAATGGACGGAGATGAAGATGTTAAAGGGAAAAGGGCGATGAAAGGTTTGGGACCATGCGGTCGGGAGATGGATTGAACGCAGCGTTCCGAATCGGGTGGCGATTTGGAGAACAATCCGTTGAGATTCCCGTGGCGATGAAAGTTTAAGACAAGTTTATTTAAACGGCGATCAAACAATACTGCGCAATACTTTGGGAGTAAGTGACACGGAGACGTACACACGTTAGAAGCTAGTGGTGAAGTGAAGCGATGGAAAAAACACAGCTGGAAGGGGTGGTTTTGTTTAGAAAAAGGAGGGAAGAGGGTTGTGATTGGTGAATTTTCAGAAAAAATGGTTTGTAGATAGAGGGGTACAGCGTACGTCACAAATCGGGCGTTTCGCTGACGGCGACACGTCCGAACCCGTACTACGCATCTATCCAAAAGCTTCTAATACTCAACTCCGACATTCCACCTTCACAAAGCATATGCGGGTGAACAGATGGAAAGAGGGGTTCAGAGAAATAGGACCTACTAACTGTGCACCTCAATCCTTATCGTAATCTCACAATCCAGCCCAGACTAAGGACTTATGCGACCTGTGGCGATGGATTGAAGCCCTTTCACCGGTGAGGACCTTTTGATCCCTCACCCTCATGGGAATCGCAAGCACCGAGAGAACCTGCAAAGGAAGAACCCGAAAGCGATCTTATGGCAATGGAAGTAGGCTCTGAACCTTCTACAACTCCCAGAAACCAGGGCAGGGCCTTCCAGCGGGCTATTCTAGCTGAGATTTGGAGCTACAAAACCTACAAAGGACCTCAGTTCAGGAACGAGTACGTTGAAAAACTGTCTAACATTCTTTCTTTTCAAAACATTCGAAAGGCAGTTGAAAAACATGTAAGGGCAGATTTCTAAATGAAAAACCCCTTCTTAAACATCAACGTGACTACTAGAAAGGGAAATCTTGTGAATCAGCACTTCATCAAATAACGATACAAATAGAGGATTCACTGAACAACCGTTAAATATCGTTAGGACCTACTTGGACATTGCAAAAGCATTTTATGACACACCTATTGAAGCAATGGTTACCACTGAAAGAACGAGGAACTGATAAAAACCTGCTGTAGATGGATAGAATTATTTCTAAAAAGCAGAAAAGTGCAGACCCCATGTTTCACGAAATTGTGATGGCGAGAGGATGCCTGCATGGAGGAAAACTCCCGTCTTTGTTGGAATGTATAATGTAGTGGATGACCTTATAAGCAAACAAAATGAAATCGGATCTATACGCAAGGCTATGTAGAAGACATTTTCATATTAGTCAGGGGAAAATTCGGCTCAACATTAAAAGCATTAAAGAGCATTAAACATGGTGGAACCAATTGCTTTCACCAAGAAAAGAAACAGAAAACAAAGCCTATGCTTCTATAGGGAAATGCTGCAGAACTATTCACCATGTTGGGGTGACCTCTTCACGATGAATTTGGTGGATTGTGGTTACGCTTCATGTTCGTTGTGGATAGAGGGTGAGCTTCTAAGATTTATAGGACAGTATCCTACTTATCTTCAGTAAAAAATATTTGAGAACCTATACCTGTTCCGCCTACAAGGAATTCTAAAAAGGAAACTGTCAGTTGGCCTGTCAGATTGGTGGATCTTGGATTTTGGAAGATAATTGATCGTGCTACTTTATAAAAATGCAAATTAGATTATAGAAAATTAGATATTTTATAAATGAATGTCTCCCCAAATCAGGTAGAAAAAATATTTAAATTTTAAAATCTTGCGGTTAGGATTTTCTGCTTTTTATTCTGTTTTTAAGATCGTTTTGTTTTTAGGCGTACTTATTTATAAACTTAATCGTATTCCGAAAATCCTTTTCATGTAATGAAAGATATAAATTGTTAGATTTCACCCTTTTGGATGACTAATTTTAATATGTTTGAACAAGATTAATTTTGATTCATCTCCAGTTGGTTAAAAGGAAAATGAAAAGATGAAGAGATTTGAGAAAATTTTCTTTATGAAGGCTCAACTTTCGCCCAGCCTTTAATGATTTAATTTTAAGATTTCCCAAAAGCGCATTAAACCCTTTACGGAATGTAATAATTGATTCTTCCCCAATGTTTGGCTCAATAGGAAGTCGGGAGCTGTAAAATATTTAATAATATCCTCCTCGGGGAAATACACTGAATGGATGCCGGGTTTTTATCCGAATAAAGATGTCGAACACCACCTAGCATTCCGTATAATTGAATTGGAAATTGCGTACTGTATTCTTTTGTTTTGTTTCGATGAGATTTCCCGAAAGGGTAATCGTCTGAGATAGGGCGAAAATTACACCGACTTCAACACACTTTTACCCAAGCCTGGAAAAAAAAGTCGACTTACGTTAACATGTATTCCGGGATATGGGAACAGCTTGTGCGGAGGATCTTCCGAAGGTGTGTACCTATAGAACTCGAAGTTGCCTCTGTACCACTTGACATAGCAAAGCGGTGCTACACCCAAATCGTACGAACACACCATACGGACTTCACCGCCTCTGTGCGCTGTCTCCGGGTATATGTCCAGTGCAAGTCCCTCCAAGCACCAGCAATCTGTAATTAAAAAATGAAATTATTCCCCGACTCTTTTGTAATTATCGTAAGAGTAATAGCTGTTAATTATTAATCCAATAAATGGTAAATTATATCAATAATAATAATATTTATTTGTGTCCTGTACATGAATTATACACATAAATATTGTTCTTAACGGTATAAAATCCCGAGCAAAACATTACCACTACGTACTGCACCTGGAGAACATGTATTGTGAGAAGCCGGGAAACGCTGACAATCACTTTGTTATCGGGTTCAGTTGAGGAAGTCCCAGGGTTATAGTCGTTTCAGGTGGTGTGGAAGATTCTTGGTCTTGGAAGAAATGGAGAGTGCTGGAGCAGCAGGGTTAGGATGGTTTGAAAGATTGGAGTGAAACCTGAGGAAGCGAAACGAATCAATTGTTTCATGAAGAGAATATTAAGGTTATTTTGGATAGTGAGGTTGGAGACATAGTAAAAAGTTAGAGAATTCTTGTGATGCCGTTTTTTTTTTGAAAGCTTGGATTCGTTGGATGTTAGATGGTATGGCTTGGTGGTATCTAACAGTTCTGCTCCGTATGTTACTGCCTAAGGATGTTGAGGTTAACTCCTCATAGGTTGCCAAGAATCTCTGCCTTGGAAATAATAAAAGCCAAAACTTTCTGGTTTAAGAATTGGATTGATCTGGCTCAGAGATATGATTGTGAATTGACTGTGGAAGACATGTCATTATGGAGTGGCCAATTGGCCACCTTATTGAGTAAAATGAAATCTGCACACCATGAGGAGTTTCAGAAAAAAGCTGTAGTCCCGTCCCGTTTTACATTATATCCGGAACTTGATCATTGTGCGGGCATATGCAGCCTGATTGCGGATCGGTCGTGTGGTCTGTCGTTTAGAGAGCTCCGCTGGCTATTTAAATTGAGGTGCGAGTTGCTATTCTTAAATTACACTCCATGGATGGAAAAAGTAGTTGAATTGTGCTCTCTACGTAATTACAGAGCGGTGGAAAACACATTTCATTTTGTCGCCGAATGTTCGATTCTGGCTGAGATTCGCGACCTGCACGTTGGCCTGTCGAGGCTGACCAGACCCGCACTCATAGCAATGTTAAATGATGGCCGTCTGTGTCGTCCTCTCATCAGATTTGCTCGCCATGCTTCGACTTACAGATTCGAGCTAGTCCAACACTTTAATTATTAATGTTTTACAATATCTCTTTATTTTGTTAGCTTTTATTATTACTATTTCTTCGATTTTCTTCTCTAGTATTGCTTTATTTTTGATTTATTCATTTATTTTTTTAAATTTTGTTTAATTTAATCGCAGTATTTTATAGTATGTTCATAGATTAATTTAATTTAATTATTTCATGTATTTTTATTGTTATTATTATTCTGTGTTTGCTCATATCAACTCCGGCTGACAGACTGTTGTCCATGCCGTAAAGTATTTTGCAACATATTTTGAGTTTGTTGTATTCCATGTAAATAAATACTATTATTCATTCATTCATTCAGTTCTGCTCCGAATGAATAAATAGGTAGAAGTAATGTTTTGTACAGATGTGTGTGGTGTTTAGTGACCGTTACTTAATGATTATTTGGAAGTCGTTTGATGCGGTCTGGTGTGACGGTAGGTTGAGGGCACTCTCAACACGCCAGGCAAGTATGACACATCAACATGGAAATCAAACACTTTGAGCCCTGAAGATGATCTCAATAAAGATCGAAACGTTGGCACAATAAAGAAAATGTTTTTCTAAAACCTACGTCACACCAGACCGCATCTCACGACCTCCAAATGATCGTATTGTACACAGTTAGTTTGTTCTTTGACGTCATATCTAACATAGACCCTGTAGGTCTTCGTAGTTGTCCAAATTGTCTATTTAGTTTTTGTCGCTTGAGTCTTGTGGGAGGAGTTCACGACAGTCTACCGTCTTGTATAGCCCTAAGTACTTTACTTGTGTGGATGTCGGGAGTTCATTATCGTTATCGTATAGCCGAGTGTAAGGTTGTTATTTAGAATGAACGTAATTTGGGTGTATTTAACAACAATAATAATAATTCTATTCTACACTGCCCGGGGTGGCTGGAGAGCAATGTTTTGTAGTTTACAGTTCTTACACGACTGGCAGCACTCGCGAATAAGTGCGTATTTCCGCAATAAGTGTGATCAGCCCTGATAGCACCATTCTTTGATGGCATGATGAGAGGCAAACCCCGTTAGACTTGGCCAACGCCACCATTTTTCTTTAATAGGATGAAACCACAAGAGCTCGACGAATCGCAAGCCAATGGAGGGACACAAACCTACGCACGGCCAGTTCCTAGTTATAGTGGAGTCTGCAGGCATGGATGCGAGGACTTCGATGGTCTGGCTAATGGACAGAGAATGCTATTTCGGGCAGAGGAATCACACTATTCAAGATCAGGTAGTTCCAACCAAGTACTACCTAGTCAGGATTGTCAATGATACCCACCTTGCAGGATGTATCTTGCTAGATTTGTGGTGAACCCCGGAAACGATGTACCACCTGATCTCCGGTTGTACGGCCCTAGCAAAACGTTAATAACTTAAGAGAATTGCCGCAGGCGTTGCGTAAGCGACTGGGCCTGCTCGAGAACAGCACCTCTACTACAAATTTTCACCATCACGGTCTATGAAAATAGTAACCGTGTGCTATAGTGCAACGGGACAATATTATCCGAAAGGCCAGTACAACTCAACTGCCCAGTCATGGTTTGGATGGATATCAAGGCACGTCTCGCTCACGATATGGATATGGCAGTACCCAAACCACCTACTTAATGGCCTCGTAGACGGAAAAAAACCACTTTGAATTGTCCGTACAAATCAAGCTACAATGGCGGATGGAAATCATACTGATTACACTGTCGACTCTTGGTGTGGTCTCTGAAAATTTGGCCAGAAGAATCGAAAAGCACTTTGGCTTATCGAGCAGATGTAGAAGGCAGTGCTTTTGTTTACCTGTGGCATAGTCAAATTGTTCTGGGAGAGACGACGTGAACATTTCAATTGTTTTTGTTGCTGTTATTTTCTGTTAATTATTTGTTTTTATTTTGTGTATTTTATTTATACATGTACGTACCCATCTCCATGTAAAATATATGTTAATCCAAGATTTCACTTTAAGCTGTGATCTGGGTACCTCGGATACCCAGAATGTAATAATAATAATAATAATTAATATTATTATAATGTTATAAATGTGTAAAATTTAATAGTCCTTTTTTGCCTCTTTACTTCATACTTTTGATTTATTCATCTTAAATCTTAGGCTCACTTCAGGGCTGACAACAATAACATTCCGTGCCTTGCCTGTCGAGCACGGAATCTTTAATCCCCAGACAGATTCTTTATGAATTGTCAATTTATCCTAGGCATACAATATATTCTGAATATTTAAATTATGTTTACACAATTCGGCTTTGAAACGGTGTTTTCTTTGCTAAAAAAATCGTCTTTTATATCCAAGCCGATTGCCAAACGGACGTGGATGGTATTGCCTTTTTGGTATTCATTGCAATAAGGCGACACGATCAAGGGTAAAAGTCATGTACGAGGTCAAATTCAATGTTCGAACTTATCAGTATGGAGTTAGAAAGGTCCGGATCATCTTTTGTTTTTATCCCGCTTATTATTTCAAAATTATTTTATTTTTTTGGCTAGTTTTGGGACAATTTGTAGAACCGTACTCCTTTTTCAATTGTCCTATCCACAACACTATTTTAACGAAACGTAGACTTATTCATAGGAAATAATCAATAAGAAGTGAAGAAAAAGGGGTTTCGCACATTTTTACACAAAATTCTGTTTCCTGGCAACCATGAAATTGTTATTATGGTAGACCCGAACGATAAATTATGGCTTTACTTTTTAAGTTTCTTTTCTTAAAGAAAAGTTAAATGTATTTTCTCTAATATGACAAAATAAATGGTTACGTAGGGTTCGGAAACATAAATGACCAGGCCCTTTTGTGACAAAATGCGTTCGGCTGAATCATTGCAAGTCCAGTGAGTCAAACTTATTATATTCCCTACGTTACAAAGGATAATGGAATGGGACATGGAAGTTGACAGATGTTTCTCTTTCCACTCAAAGGATTTCACCCAACGCTGTACTGGCTCCCTCTAACAGACCGTTCTTTGGATAGGTTTTTCAGCCAGTATTGAATAAAATTTCCCAATAGGTGAACACCTTTTTTCGAGGGGAAAAGGTAAATCTTTTCTTAAGGGTGACAGCAAATATACCATTCACCGGCTTCATAAAATATGGTACCACTTCGGTTTCAAGAAAGTAAGGTTTTGTATAGAGCCAGAGTAAACCCTGTGTCATTTTCCACTTCCTCAAAGGAAAAGCTAGTCTGAGGCAGAGTTCGACCGCAAGAACAAGCAGAATCGAAGACGATGCAAAGACGATGGAGAAACTTTGCCATTTTGCCGTTAATGTTGGAAGTTTCGCAAGTGCCGCAGACCGACGGAAATTACATACAGGTCATGGGATGGTTAGGGATGGTTATGCATGCAAGGTTGGTTATCCATGCAAAGGCGATGGAGAAACTTTGCCATTTTGCCGTTACTGTTAGAAGTTTCTCAAGTTCGGTAGGCTGTTGGAAATTACATCAAAGTCATGGGATGGTTAGGGATGGCTATGCATGCAAGGTTGGTTATCCATGCAAAGGCGATGAAGAAACTTTGCCATTTTGCCGTTAATGTGTAGAGATTAGTGACCGTTAATCGATAGTTATTCAGATATCGTGAGATGCGGTCGGGTGTGATGTAGGTTTCAGAAAAACATTTTCTTTATCGTGCCAACGTTTCGATCTTTTATTGAGATCATCTTCAGGGCTCAATAAAGATGGAAACGTTGGCACGATAAAGAAAATGTTTTTCTGAACCGACCGCATCTCCGATATCTGAATAACTAATTTGCCGTTAATGTTGGAAGTTTCGCAAGTACCGTAGACCATCGGAAATTACATACAAGTCATGG